CATCTGTAATGAAACACATGCACTGATCAGCTTTTAGCCTTTTACCCTAATATAAAATATAAATCTTCTCATCCACCACCACCACCATCATATGTTGTCCGGACTAACGACTGGGTTCCGTCCTTGAGCATTGCTGCCGGACCATGCTTCGGGCTTCAAATCTATACTACCTAGCTCTTTAAAGTTTAAACCACATTGCAGTACACGGGCCCAGCCTTGCTGAAAAGGAAACTCGTAGCCTACAGGCCCTAGACAAATTTTGGGGGCTCGGACTACCGGACCACCTTGGTCGGCGGCGCCAGCCAAAAGAGAAAAAAAAAAGTGCGCCGCTGGCAGTCCGGAAAACCTTGGCGCGCAGCAAGGGGCCTGCAGGCCTGGATGTATCGGCGGGTTAACGACTACGTGCATCGTGGAACGGTGGATGTGCTTGTGCGCCTTCACGACTTGAAGTGGCAGAGCCTTAACTTGCGTCGACATGTTACATCTTGTGTCATCTGCGTAAGTGCTAGTATTGCTTTCTTTTCACCCAATGCATGCAAGCTTTGGTTTCTAATATTTTCACGCCTTTTTTTTGTTATTGTCCCTCTCCTTTCGTTCCTTTCTTTCCTTTCCTTTCCTTTCCTTATTTCGGTCCCTTTACCGCTCTTTTCTATTCCTCTTTCTTCTTCCTCTTCTTCTTCTTCTTCTTCTTCCTCTTCTTCCTCTTCTTCCTCTTCTTCTTCCTCTTCTTCTTCCTCTTCCTATCTCGTGAACCTATCATATGATGTTTTGCAGCCGCATATCAGATGCTTATTTGTTTTCAACATATGGTGTCTGGCCTAACCAATTGGGTTTCACCCTCGAGTGTTGCTCGCTGGACCATGCTTCAGCCTTCCTCTATGTTGTTTGCATTAATCAGACATGATTGCCATATTGGAGCAAAAGCCCGCCTCCATGCTGCGTATCAACAGAGTGCTGCTACTGCTTGTTCTGGCAAATCATCTCCACTCACCTTCACCTAGTCAAGGGTGACGGCTGGAAACGCTGCTGCTACCCCAGCGCCCATGCCCAACATCCCCAGCGCCGGCCAGCGGTTTACCATCACACCCTCATTTCTCGTTTCCAAAGGGTGACGGCCGGCCGTCAGATATCATCTGATTCATCGAACCGAATGGGCCCATGGAATTCAGAAATGTAGTGTTTTACTCGTCTGCTCTGATCCCGGCGGAGTTTGAACGCAGGTCTGTACTTCAACAGTTTAGGGGGTATGCCAACTGAGCCAGGCCAGTCGGTTCACTCACACCCTCATTTTTTTACTATTTCTCCAGAGCGTGGTAAATGTGTTCTTCACTTCTCCACTGCACATACCACAGACAAGCTCCAGTCTTCCGCCGAATACAACCAACGGTCATTATAGCTGAATTTGGGGTATCTTTCAGTCTAAATGCAGCTAGAATCAGCTTACGACGTATGTTGTATTCGGCGGACGAAGGTAGTCGATCGTCGGAAACACTGCTACCTGCAGAAGACCAACATGCCCATCCATCCGTTTACCATCACGCCCTGATTATTATTATTATTATTAGTAGTAGTAGTAGTAGTAGTAGTAGTAGTAGTAGTAGTAGTAGTAGTAGTAGTAGTAGTAGTAGTAATTTACTACACTGCTACTTGCAGATGACCAACATGCCCATCCATCCGTTTGCCATCACGCCCTGATTATTATTATTATTATTATTATTATTACACTGCTACCTGCAGATGACCAACATGCCCATCCATCCGTTTGCCATCACACCCTGATTATTATTATTATTATTATTATTATTATTATTATTATTATTATTACACCCTGACTTCTATTTCTTCCGAGTCGTAAACATGTTCTTCACTTCTGCACTGCATGAACCACAGCCACAGACATGGCATGGCATGCATATTTTTGCCAAAATACGACATGGCAATGGCATGCATATTTTTACCAAACAAAATTTGACAACAGCACACATGCATACTTGAAAAGTGCGTAGCGTGCACAGTGTGTAGTGGGTGGTGTGATACACAAATTCTCTTCCTCCGTTGAACAACATACGTTTTCTTTTTTCTTTTTTTTTTACATACCACGTGTTACCTCTAAATAAACATGGGTAAAAAAGAGGCGACGAGTCTGACGACCACCTGTCCGGTATATCGGAGGTAGGGCCAAACAAGTGGCCTCGTAGATGGGAAAGCAGAGGTTACACTAAGGACGGACACAAAAGATAGGTAGGCAGGGGCAGGTCCTGTGAGCACCCAAAGAGAAAGAAAAAGAAAGAAGAAAAGAAAAGACATTTTTACCACAGACAGTGGGAAGGAGAGAGAGAGATGATTACCTCAATGATTCCCTGTTTAACACGTAATTAGTAAATCACATTCACTACCTTCTTTCCCCGAATACAACGTACGGTCATTATAATTTATAACCGTATCTAGACTGAAAGATACCTCAAATACAGCTATAATTACCGTACGTTGTATTCGGGGGAAGAAGGTAGTCATATGCATGTTTACGGCGGCCAATTGCAAAAGGAAGGTTTGAACAGTCAGTACTTGATGTCTTGACATGCTGAGCGCTACCGCACTTCCCTAACAAAGAACACAGATTGTCGCCTCGCCACGCCACGCTCGAATTTTGAGCGCACATATCTTTCCCGTCCCATAATCATTCCGTAGCATTTGTGTTCCCGCCTAGGCTGCTCCTCTATGTGCCCAGGCAACAATTCTGTGCCCGGGCGGCTGGGCAGGACCCCGTGCAGGGGCCCCGTGTGGGCCCCAAGAATAAATTTAACATTCTGGACTATGACGTGTAGAATTGGCAATGCGAACAACATGATTTCTGTCTGTATAAAACACCCATTGGTGTGCGGTGCCTTTATAAAACAGGCATACAAGCAGCGACGTTTTCCCTGTATAAAACACCCTCTGCCTGTACAAAACACCCTCTGCTGATCAAGTGGGGTGCTTCTGTTCTTGAAGCCATAGAGCTGATGGGGCCTCGCCGCACCACTCACAAATATCATTGAAATATATGCGAAATGACGCCGAAATCAAGAACGTATCATCCATAAGGACATGGAAAGATCAGCAACCATATATTTTTTCCCAATTTCTTGTCTTTTTTACATTTGGTGAGCGGCGCGGCCAGGCCCATCATCACATTTCTACTTCTTTTTACTCTTTTTTTTTTTCAAATGTGAATGGTCCATGCTAGTCGTCTCTGTATCGTTGCAATTTTAACGGATGTCTTGAAGGACCACCACGTTGATCCATCTATCTTTCGTTAATCACTCCCCTCCCCCCCCCCCCCCCCCCCCCCCCCCCTCCTTCCCCCCCTTTTTGAACATCCGAAATTCCTGGCAGCCATCCAAACTTAAAAAGGCCCGGTCATTATAGCCATATCTGGACTGAAAATTGCACCAAATACGGCTGTAATGACCGGGCGTTCTATTCCGGTGAAGACGGAAGCTGTGAGCCCAATAAAAGAAGGCACTTACCGTCTTCGCCTGAACATAACACACACCCTGATTATGGAGATGTACAGGCCATGTATCCAATTCATCGAATGCAATGCATTCATCACGAGGGCGCTTTGCGTTTGGTGGAAGACAGTAGCTACATCAAGAAGGCACTCGTCCAGATCCACACCTAACACTATTTGCAAATCCGATCCTGGAAGTGACACCTCCTAATGACAGCGAGGAGGAAGTTTTGGGCCTGAGCATGTGGGCCCTGGTCATGAGCAGTGACCTGGGTACAAATGCCTGACTGACCAACAAATGCCTGACTGACCAAAAAAGGCAGGAGCAACATCATACTATATCAACAGGACCGATGGGCATGGATGTGAGATAGCCGCTGAGTCGCGCTGACAGTGATAACCCCAAGAGTGAGCAGACGGCGACAGACAGACAGGAGCTGCCAAGTTGATGCAGACAACCCCATAGGCTGTAGACCGTTTCATAGCCCGCTGATTGTGATATCCCCAGGCGTGAGCAAACCAACACAGGTGTATTTCAGTCAGGAGCCGCTCAGTTGCTGCAGACGACCTTGGGGCTGTAGCCCGATCCTCTTCCCGTGAACACAACAAACCGTCACAATAACTGCACTGGACTGGAAAGAGATTTTATACGCACTTATGACCTGAGCGCGTTGTGTTCAGGGGAAGAGGATCGGGTGTGAGGAGCCCTTGTCATAGCCCTCTCATAGTGAGATAGCCCCTGGTGTGACTAGTGACGCCCACTGGACCTATCGAACTCAGGGGTTGCTGAATCGATGTGGACGATCACAGGACCTATTGTACTCGGGGGCTGCGGATTTGATGCAGACGACCACCGGGCACAGGGGCTATAGCCCCTACCATCTTCACCCGAATAGAACGCCTGGTCATTATCACTGTATCGCGACTGCAAGTTGCACCAAATACAGATATAATAAATGACCTGGCGACGCTGGAGTTCTTTTTTTTTTTTTTTTTTGAAAACCAGTTCCCTTGCTAGGAGAGGTTGTAAGAGCGCACACCAACTACCTGAAAACTGTATCTCGACTGCAAGTTGCACCAAATACAGATATAATAAATGAACTTGCAGTCGCTAGTGGCGTTCTATTCGTGTGCAGACGATACAGAGACGGTTACTGCGGCCCCCTAAGTGCGATAGTTCCCCCTGGCTTTCGCAGACGGCCACCAGCACCGGGCCTATCGCACTCCCGCGTGCTGCTGAGTCACAATGCAGACGACCACACCGCCGAAGGGATGGGAGAGGGTATGGCAGGGGATTCAGAGAAGCCATATAGGACACATATGAATGATTCCAGAACCATGACAACTCAAATTTAGCAACTTCAGAATTAAGAGAAGAGGAACAAAACTGTGTTCGGATTCTTTTCCGAAGACAATAATCGTCATGACAATCTCAAACTACTACTACAAGTACAAAGACGCCGCAAACACAATGTCGCGCTTGATTTGAGCCGAGGCTAATTCAAACTTAGCCTGAAGTTCAGTCTGCAGCAGAAAGACACAGAAAAAAACACAAGCCCAATGCAAACACAGAATCGATTCAGAAACAGGAGTGTCCGTCGGCACTCAAGAATTCATCCCTAACAAAAAAAGTGGGACAACATCTCAACAAGCTAGCCTCTAGATCTAGCACGGGAGCCGCCCCGCCTGCCAATTGGCTGCTCAGGTGGCCTTGGCTGGATCAGCTCCAGGCAAGGTCCAAGGGGAGCAGCCTCCTCACAAACCTGAACCGAAATAAAAGAGAAAACAAAATAAAAAAGGACAACAAATACGTTTACAACTTTACACTTTTTAAAATTTTAAATCCTCTTTACATTTTCAACTTTTGAAGCTTAAATTACAAATTTTGAACCCCATATCCATACCCTCTAGAGTCTTACGACCCCTATGGTGCCCTATGGTGCTTCTTGTTGGGGGGGGGGAAGGGGAAAAAAAAGAAAAAGAAAAAAAGAAAAAGAAAAGAAGGAACAACCCTAAGGTGCACCCTCTCACCCAACTCAACAACGAGGGCAGACTCTCAATGATCACACCGATCACAGTATCTTAGTCGAACTCCGAAGCCTTCTTGGCACTCCCTTTTTCAACTGCGCTGACAGGCAGTTGTTTTCAATATAGACTTGAAATTCTTGAATAAAATTTCATGGGTCTCACTTCACTCATGAACAAACTCAATCCTTCTCCGGGAAAAAAAGTCGTATACGTATGCCTTCCATAATCTGGCGAAACAATTATAAAAATAAATTGTCTGTATACGTGATCCTATGGGCGCAAAAGCGTTTTCTTTTCTTTTCTTTTCTTTTCTTTTCTTTTCTTTTCTTTTCTTTTCTTTTCTTTTCTTTTCTTTTCTTTCGGCCTCTCGCTCAACTCACTAGAAAACTAGAGCCACAAAGCAAGTCAAATAGCCCTGGCATTTTTTCGACTGGACTGCCCTTGCATTTTTTTTCCACTGCCCTCGCACTTTTTTCAACTGCCCTTGCATTTTTTTCCCACTGCCCTCACACTTTTTTCGACTGACATGAGCTGATTCACAATATACTTTGTGTTTATACTACTTTATAGTTCAGATAAAAGACAAGCTTGGTATCAATAGGGCATTTCATACCCCTGTTCCCCATTGTTTTGGATACGAGAAGGACGAGGCAACTACGAGAGAGAGAGAGAGAGAGAGAGAGAGAGAGAGAGAGAGAGAGAGAGAGAGAGAGAGNAGAGAGAGAGAGAGAGAGAGAGAGAGAGAGAGAGAGAGAGAGAGAGAGAGAGAGAGAGAGATTCCATACCTCTCCAAAGGACTTTGACGCAGCTGCCATCTGGCCAAGCACCTCCTCTACTCTTCTGAATGCCCGGATCAAGCTTCCTTCAAATGCCTCTGTTAGTTTCATTATCTGAATCACAAAAAAGAAAAGAGAGAGTGTTACAATTTGGCGAGCTGTATTTCACACGTAGCCTCTTTTTTTTTTTTTAACACACACATAAGATCTTCTCCCCCTTCCACTCCCTCCCTCTTGCTTTGTCCTTCTCTTTCTTCCTCTTCTTATTCTTCTTCTTTTTTTTTTATTTTTAAAGAGCAGTGGCCTTGCGATATTTTCTCCAAACTGACTGACCTCAGGTAAAGTTGCGCATATATCATATCGATTCATATGATTCCATTGGAATTCGAACTCAGGTCTGTGTTTCAAGAGAGTGTGAGTGTGCTAACTGAGCCAGGCCAGCTGGTCCCCCTTCCCTTTTCGTACCCCTGCCATTTTCGTACCCCTCCCTTTTCGTACCCCTCCCTTACCTCCACTTCTCTTCTATTATTCTTATTCAACGCTGTGGAGCGTTTGGAATTGCATTTGATTCAATTTTATTTGCTTGCAATTTCAATCCGATCCAATCGGCATCCATCTTATTCGCTTCACGTCGATGTGATTCACTATGACTTTCATCTGACTCATCAATCTCCAATCTGATTCGATTCGATCCGATCCCATCGGATTTCATTTCCACTCAGCCCCATTCGCCTCCACCCTACTCCGCTCTATCACATTCCATGATTTCCATCCCGTCCTCCTGTCATTGACTCCTTGTAATATTCCAAGCTATTCGACTCTCTTCCATGCCGTTTGACTCTAGTCCCATGCTATTTGACACTATTCCATGACGTTCTATTCCTTTTTTTTTTCTTTTCTTTCGTTTTTTTTTCTTTTTTTCTTTTCCCCCTTTTCATTTCTCGATGTATGTGTGCCATTTTGTGTGGCATCCTTGTGCAGGGCCCATGCTAATCTTCTCTGTATCGTTCCAATCGTAATGCACATTCTACTCTTCGTTTTTATTGTTTCAACTTTTAAGTTTTAACTAAGCTATCGTCTTCTCTCTCTCTCT